AGCAAAAAAGTTCTATATGTGACACGGCTCCAGAGTTAAGTTAGGGTTTTTCAAAATGCTGACATGCAGAGCTCAAAAGGTTCGCCATCACTGCTAGCACCAGCCAGGGCTGCCTTTGTTGATTTTTCAGGCAAAAGTCATTGAGGCCAAAGACTGTCAATAAGTAATTAGACTTTCCTAGAAAATTACATTTGCAAGCATCTGCCCTGTCAATAATATTTACACACTCCTCCAAGGAGAAATAATTTGGGATAAGAATCCAGTGGTACTAGTTTTTCCTAATTATGACTGCACCCCTTTGGAAAATGTTGGTCAAAGCAGGATGCTTATATGCTTATGTATAACATGAGGATAGTTAAATGTATTATGATTCTGTTTTCCAAATCCCAAATTGTTGTACATTAAATAAATATTTGATATTTGGATATGCCTGGAAAACTGGAATCTGTGGTTTCATATTCATTTGTTCAACAAATATTATGTGTCTGCTCTATTCTAGGTATTGTGCTAGGCCCTGGAATAGAGTGGAGCTAACAGTCTAGTGGGAAAGACATTCATTAAGACATAGTTTTAAAAATAATTACAGTTGTGGGTTGGTGCTATAAAGAAATACAGGGTACTATGAGAGCATTTAACAGGGAGACCTTACTTGATGTTGGGGTTTAAGGAAACTTTCTTGAAGTTACATTTAAGCTTAGGCATGAAGGGTGAATTGGAATTAGGTTTGAGGCATCTAGGAAGATCTTAGGCAAAGGGTAAGGAACATGATTGTGCAGAATTGAGTTATGGGGCAGCAAGAGGGAATGGTGTTCCTTTTCTTTTTAAAAAATATATTTATTGATTTCAGACAGAGGAAGGGAAAGGGAGAGAGAGAGAAACATCTATGATGAGAGAGAATCATGGATTGGCTGCCTCCTGCACGCCCCCTGCTGGAGATTGAGCCTTCGACCTGGGCATGTGCCCTTGACCGGGAATCGAACCCGGGACCCTTCAGTCTGCAGGCTGATGCTGTATCCACTGAGCCAAGCCGGCTGGGGTGGAATGGTGTTTCTTAATGACTATTGATTACATTCCATCACATCTATCCTATTTTTAATCCTCCTCTTAACACATTTTGTAAAATATGCTTTTAATAGCATTACTATCTGATTTAGAAACTTTTTACAGCTCTTCATTGGGTAGATTATTAGCTCTTTGAGGTTAGGACTCTTGTTGCTTTAAATTCCTTAGTCCAAGGTTTTAGATATTGGAGCAAATCATACTTTGCCTCTTGACATGAGTTGGTGCAGCACTAAATGGTAGGCAACAATGGAGTGCGAGTTTTTAAAATCCTTACCTGAGGATATGTTTTTTCCCCATTGCTTTTCAGAGAGAGCAGAAGGAAGTCTTTTTTGTAGCCCAGTCTATATGTAGTTCTTATTTTAAGAGTGATCTTATTGTATTGAATTAAGATATTGTAAATAGGACCATAACCCAGGGGTTTTTAGATGTGGCAATGATCTCATTTGAAGAGTGAGGTTATGTCTTTTCTAGTTATTTAAGAGAGGTATGTTTCAGTAGAAATCTGAACTGAGAAGGTGGGATCTGAATAGATTGGATAAGGAATATAGTTTGTCTTGTTGGTGGATTTTGTTAAGCTGTGCCAAGTCTTTGGGTTCTAATATAGACAACTGAATAGTGCATGAGGTGCCAGTCTTTCCTCTATCCTCAGCATATACAAGGCACTCAAATATTTGTTGAATAGGAAAAATGTGCATGTGAATGGGGGCCTATGTGCTTATAGAGCAATCTTGGATCAAAATTGTGTACTTTCTAAGCCAGATTGCTTATATTCTAGGCATTCTCTGTCTCCACCCCCCCACTCCCCCCCCTAATATTTAGTTAAATCTCTTTGGAAGTTTAACCAGGAAAACCAAGGGAAGGATTTTTGGGTTAGGCTGGATGAACAAGGTAAGCTATGACAACTTGAGAGAATTCTAACAGCAAGGTAAAATTCAGGAGCATCAATTCTAGCAGTTAGCTTGGCATTTTTAAAACTTGGGTTATATAATGATGCCTTTTAAAGAGAGAAGTTATTACAGAGCAAAAAAAAAAAAAATACAACCAAGGACCCCAGTTTGAGAAATACTGCATTAAAAGTTAAATGTAACTGTTTGCCCTAGCCGGTTTGGCTCAGTGGATAGAGCATCAGCCTGCGGACCAAAGAGTCCAGGGTTCAATTCTGGTCAAGGGCATGTACCTTGGTTGCAGGTTCCTCCCCAGCCTAGGCTCTGGTCAGGGCTCCTGCAGGAGGCAACCAATTGATGTGCTTCTCACATCGATGTTTCTGTCTTTCTCTCTCTCCCACTCTTTCTAAAAAAATCAATGGAAAAATATCCCCAGGTGAGGATTAAAAAAAAAAGTTAAATGTAACTGTTTAAGAGGTTACTTGAAAAAGCAAACAAAAGAGAAGTGGTTACTTGGTACTAGCTTGATGTCAAACCAAAACTGGGCCACTGAAATGATGTTGCAGTATTATTTTTAGATTATCTATATAAAAACAGTTAATAGGCTGTCAGATTATTTTCTTTTTAATCCTCATTCAAGGATATGTGCTTATTTTTACTTATTTTTTTTTAGAGCGAAAGGAACGGTGTGTGTGTGTGAGTTTGGGGGTTGGGGGTGGGGGAGAGACAGGGAATAGTTTGTCTTGTTGGTAGGAACATCAATGTGAGAGAGAAACATTGATTGGTTGCCTCCTGTATGTTCCTGACTGGGATGGAACCCACAGCCCTTCTTGGTGTATAGGATGACCACTCTAACCAACTCACCCAGCCAGAGTTCTTAGACTCTTGATAATATATCTCTAGACCTTTATATAGGTTAGGCAGGCCCCACTTTGAATCAAAGTGTATTACCTCTCCTGCCGGGAGATCCAGTGGTAAATCATGAAAATTTGGTGGTGTTTTCAAAAAAATATCTGGCATTTCATTCTATGTTTGCCTAGTATAGGGACAGAGTAGCAAAAGAAACTCTCCCCTCTCCTTCCCCACTAAAGTGTCCTCCCAGATTTCCTAATTAGAGATACTATTTGTGTTAACTTGTGTTGGGATCCAGTTACCACTAGGCAATGATTGTTAAGCAGTGATCAGTCATTTACACCTTATGATCAGATGCTTTAATGCTAAGTCAACACAAATTTTATTTCTGCCTCAGAAAATGGAAATTTTGTATGAGGAAATCTTAGACACTTGAAAGTAAGGCATTCTTGGATGAGCTGAGGTGGAAATTCTGACAAGGCAGCTTACAGGAAAGGGATTTTTGGGGTCAGGGAAGAGGAGGGTGTCAAAAAACATCTCAGTTTTGCCCAAGATTTTGGGCATTAATCATTTGTTTTACTTGCAGTGCTCTTGAGAGTGCCTGAATGGGGTTTTTCAGGGCAACTTCAGAAGTCTGTAAACTTTAGCTCATACATTTTCTAGTATACTAATTTCATCACAATTTCTTCCCATGGCATACCTCTGAAGAGAAGAACGAAGAAAAAGAAGACTCTTACTAATATGCCTGGAGTCTAGCTCAGATCAGTTTTGTTGGATAAGCCTCCTCCTCTTGGCTCCTTTCTTTGAACCTCCTCATTCTCCTTCTTCATAGAACTTTGTATTTAGTCATCTAGCATGAAGGTTCTCAGTACTTGCTAATTCATCTAAGAGAGTAAAAGAAAAGTTTGGAAACATGGACCGCATATCTGCTCTCATACTCCTACTATTTTGCCTCTTTTCTCTTTACTTTTTTACTGTAGTGTTAGCAGCACAGAGGAAAGAGCAGCTGGTTAGGAATAGGGAAGGAAAAAATATAATTTTTGGGAGAAATACTGTCCATTAACTTAGCTCAGCAATTTTCTGACAGATATTCGGTAATTTTTTTCTTTGCACTTCATGGCTTAAATAGCTTGAACAAACAAGAATTGAAAACACAGCATCAGGGCATTAAAGTTCAGATAATGCTCTATCGTGTAAAATTCTCGTTTCCAAGTTTTACTGTTTTAACAGGTGAGGAGCTAATTTAACCAGGTAAGTTAGTGCCAACTCTTCTTCCCTTCCCATTTGGCATTGAGGTTTTCGTTCTCCTCCCTACTTTCCTAGTGTTCTTCCGTCGTTGATGTTGCAAACTCGACCACTCGTTTCTCAAGGTCTTTTCTTCAAGATTTGCCGAAGGTTTGGCGCCATCCAAGCCCACAGAACATTGGGGAGGAAGATTTCCGACTCATTTGACGGGCTCACGAAGCCCTAGGGACTGTGGATACCCTTGTGGGTGGAGCTGGGCGCGGTAGGGGCGGAGCCGGCGAGGAGCCCTAGGGAACCGGTGGAAGGCACGATTTGAGAAAGCCCGCAAGCAAAGTTTTCACGGTTTTCACGAAGGCTTCGTGTGCGAGGCTGAGGGAATTGGGGTGCCTCTCTCCTGCCTCGCCTTTCTTCATTCTGGAAGCTTCAGTAGGCTGATCTCAGTTGTTGGAACCCGGAAAGGCAGCGGCTTCAGCTCCAGGGGCGGGTCCCAAGGGTCTTGTCGCTGCTACGGGGCCATTTGGCCTCCTGGTGTTGGGGGAGGGGCGAGGGAGGTGCTGCTTGCGCCTCCTTTTGCGCTTGCGCGGCGGTCTCCGAGCGGGTAGGAGCGCCTGCGCGGTGACGTGGACGTCCCGTGCGCGCGCAGGCTCTTCAGCTGGAGCGGACACACGGTGTGCGAACGGAACAAAATAACCCGCCCCCAGCGGGATGTGAAGGACTCCGGGTGAGGCCGGCCACGCCCCGCACGGTAACTCTCGGGCCTGGGCAGGGGGGGGTGTCGCTGTAGTACTGGCCCGATTGGAGTTTTTTGAGAGTTTGAAGCTCTTGTGTATTTGAGCGGCGTGAGAGACCTTCCGCTGAGCGATCTTCGCACGCTGCGGCCGGGCCCGGCCTTGCGCTGGGCCGTCTTTGGCGCGCGCCTTTGGTCGGCCCCCCGCCCCATGCCCCCAGCGAGGCTGCGCATGTCACCTCGCGCGCGTCCCCGGTCTTACTTCCGCGTCGCGCAGCAAACTGACTAGGAGCATCGACGCCAAAGAGAGCGGCCACGAGGCGGGCGGGGTGAGAAGCGCCCTTGGCGCGGTCCTGCGCTCGCGTGCGTGGGGTGTCGCACCGCATGCTACGATCCGCGTGACGACTTCCATTAGGGCGCTTGGCTTTAAGTCGAGAGCTCTGCTGCTGCGCTTTGCACTTTAGAGCGCAGGTCTCAGGGTTCCAAAACTCCGAGGTAAACGGTGCTGACGTCGCTTTTCTTAAGGAGCTGTGTGCGGCATTTTGACACCCGTTCACATCTCTTACTACCATGTAATTTTCGAGTAAATTGTTTGAGGCAGGACCGCGAATTTAATAAAAGAGGAGGGCGAGGAAGTGACCTGTATAAGAGTCGGGACTTGGTAAACAAAGGACCGGTGGTTCGAAAGTGCAGAAATGAGGGCGGGGGAAACAGGTGGGAAGAGCAGGTGTTTATTTTCTTTTTCTCTCTGTGGAGCAGCCTGGGCTAGTTCTCTTTTCATGAGGCTTCCCGCTTCTGTTAAATTGTCAAATAGGACTCTGCTCCTAGTGGTAGGTGGGTCAGGGGCATAAACCCCTCTGAAGCACTAGTAACCAAAGTTGAGGAATCTGTGTGCGAAGGTTATGAAGTTAGGGATCTTTCAAATCGGATTGAGAGTAGCAAGTGGTAGTGACTTGTTGGTGAAGGTTTTTGCTTTGCCTTTGGGACCCCGGGGATGCCTCCTCCTGGCAAGGGTGTTAGCAGGGAACGCTGAAGGAGGTCTAAAAGGACGGATTATTGAGGCAGTAACTCAAGTACCATCGTTTTAGGGGAAAACCACTCCCCCAGTGTTCACGTCGCCGTAGCAGACGAGGATCAAGAGAATTTGCGCGCCGCCCGTGCGTGTTGTTAAGCTCCACAGGCTTCTGCGGCGGGGTTCCTAGCAGACTTTCCCTGCTCTGCCTTTACATTTTGGACACGTCGTTGTGGCTAGATTGTAGGGGAAGTGCCTGGAGGCTACGTGATGGCTGCTGGGAAGGGCTGGCTTGGAGAGACGGGTACTGGGTTCAGGGTTACAGAGTGTGACTGGGTCCCCCGGAGTGATCTGTGGTTCCGGCGGATGGCACGTGATCTGTCGGGACTGCTCTTCCCCGGAAGAGCTTTCCTTGCAGCGTATTTTCACGTGGTTCTTGGCTCAGTGGATAGGGCCTCTGCAGTTGAAAAGCGGTGATTGTGGGCAATTAATAGTCGTCGGCGACTGCACCTCCTCGGCACTGGCCTGAGCCTTTCTGTTCCCAAGGGTATGGGATCAGCATTAGTGTTTCTTGCCTCCGAAGTGTTGTGTTGTTTTTCTATCCTATGGTTGAGTGGGTTGGGTTCACTTAACAGAAAACGCATGCTTAGGAATTGAGGGAATTCAGTGCCCTGGGTACCTTGCCATACTTACTACTCCAAGGAAGGGTAGCTCTTTGGTTACTGTCCATTTCTGCCATAAAAGTTCTTCAAATTCTTAATGCAATTGCTAGGGACCTGAGAACTTGGTAACCCCAAGTTGTAGTTAAAGGGACCATTCATAGGAATAATATTTCCAACGAATGGTATCTGGGGAGAGAACATCGAGCGTACTATTTTAGGCAGAAGTGATTCTGTGCCGTAAAACCCTAAAGCATTAGAGATAGTATTTTGAAATTTACCTTATTAGGATGGTGATGGTGATAAAAGAAAATGCCCATGGTATTGACTGGTTGGGAATAAGTGCTGACTAATAGACAAGTACCATTTATTTAATTTTAAAAATTAATCTAATGACAATTAAGAACCGGTATTTGAATATTTTACTGTCTTTGCTATATTTTCTGATTGTTTTTATGGTTAAAATATATATTTTTAAGCTTTTTAAAATTTCTGGGCCAATTGTATATTGGTAAATACTGAAATTTGAGACAACCTATTCTCTTAAAATTTGAGTTTCAGAAATGTAATTTACCTTAACCATACTCTTGTGAATGATCATATTAAGGAACAAACTAACATCTTAGTGCCTACAGTACAGTAATGCATTTGTTGTATGAAAGGTTATGGTTATTTTTTAGCAACCTTGGAAACATTTCAGAATAAGTATTTGAATATTTTTTGTTTTAAAAGTAATGGTATTGGTTTGGAATTTTGATTGATTTTTTTGTGTGTTCAGTACATGAATTATTAAGTTAGGTAATTATCTAGTAAAATAACTAGTGTGTTTTGTAAGTTGTATGAGGGTCACCGCTTTAGTAGTTAAAACACCTACAAAATGGGTCATTGGTGAAAAGACATTTAGAATAGGGACTCTGAAATTTTAAGTTTATTTATGGAACTTGCCACATTACTTATCTCAAAACATTCTTTGTGAAAGCTACTGTTTGTCTCTCTCTCCTATGACATTTTCAGAATGTTACTTACATATTTCTCATCTACGATTAAACATTCCTCAGATAATTACTTTATGCAGATGAAAGTTTGCTTTTTTTTTTTGAAAAGTTTGCTTTTGAAAAGCTGAACTGAGATTATGTTTAAAAAATGTTTTTATTGATTTCAGAGAGGAAGGGAGAGTGAGTGAGAGAGAGAAACATAAATGATGAGAGAGAATCACTGACCAGCTGTCTCCTGCTCAGGACTGAGCCAACCCAGGGCATGTGCCCTTGACAGGAATCGAACCCCGGACCCTCCAGGCGGGCGCTCTGTTCACTGAGCCAAACCAGCCAGGGCCCGAGATTATTTTTGAATGTTAAGTTATATCAGGGGTCCTCAAACTACGGCCCGCGGGCCACATGCAAATACAAATATTGTATTTGTTCCCGTTTTGTTTTTTTACTTCAAAATAAGATATGTGCAGTGTGCACAGGAATTTGTTCATAGTTTTTTTTTTTAAACTATAGTCCGGCCCTCCAACGGTCTGAGGGACAGTGAACTGGCCCCTTGTTTAAAAAGTTTGAGGACCCCTGAGATATATATGTGGTCTTCCTTAAAAGCGTTTAGAGAGCTAGATATGAGAGTATTTTAGAATCTTGTTGGAAGGAGTATTTCTTCATGAGTGGCCTAGCTCTTCCTCAAGTACAATTGGTTTTTGCAATTAAAGTTGTCTTAGCCTGCCCTAGCTGGATTGGCTCAGTGGATAGAGTGTCGGCCTATTGACTGAAGGGTCTCAGGCTCCATTCCGGTCAAGGGCACATGCCCGGTTGCAGGCTCAACCCCCAGTAGGGGGCGTGCAGGAGGCAGCCAACCAATGCTTCCCTCTCATCATTGATGTTTCTATCTCTCCCTTCTTATCTGAAATTAATAACAATATATGTTTTAAAAAAGTTGTCTTAGCCTTTAGTATGGTATTGTGTGTCTGAAACAGCTGAATATGCCCAATTGATAATCCTTTCATTAGAAAATCCAGTGTAGTATCCCAAAAGAATAGCCATATTATTATAGTGAAGTGGAATCTGTGCTTAAAGATTGCTTGGAATAGAATTTGAGATAGAGATTGTTTTGGTCATAAAGTAGGTCTTTGGTTTTATGTATTTTGATAAACTCATGGAATAACTTCACTAGAGGATTCTTTAAAAAAAAAACCCCTATACACATCATAAGTCTGAAAATTCTAATTTTTTTCTCTTTTGTATACTTTTTCACATTTTAACTTAGATTCTTGTGTAGAGAGTTCAACTAGGACAGGTCGACATATTTACACTTATTTTTTTTTTTTTGCTTAGGTGAAAGGAGAATTTTGAAATGTATGTATATAAAAGCATAAAATTCAGTGCACTAAATCTAGCAACACTAACCTGGATTTCTGTCAGTTGAATTTTTGACATTTCATAGATTGTGATTTTTAAAGCCTTGTTTAAAATTTCTTTGTCCTTGTTTTACCTGGAATTGTCTGAAAACCAAGCTTTTATGTTATAGAAGATAATTTTTAAGACATTCTGAATCCTTTTAGATACTCATAGGTTTGGGATAGCTAAAACATATTTTCAGATAGTTCTTTTTCAATAGTCATATTTAAGTGCATTTAACATTTTTGCATAATTGCTCACAAAACTTTGAAATATATGGACTAAATATAGCATTAGGAGTTAGCATTATTTGAGTTAATATACTATTGTAGAGGTATTAGTTTTTGTGAGTTCTCTAAGCTTTACTCTTTTTACAGTCACCTTTTTTGTTTAAACTTAGTTTTATGAATATCTGATAGGTGTTACCTAAACTTCTTAGTTTTAGTAAACCAATGAACCTACTTGTCGTAAGCCTGAGGCAGCTTTTGAAAAGAGTCACCCTAAATTTTATCTTTTAAAAATAAGCTTTAGCCCTAACTGGTTTGGCTCCGTGGATAGAGCGTCGGCCTGCGGACTCAAGGGTCCCAGGTTCGATTCTGGTCAAGGGCATGTACCTTGGTTGCGGGCACATCCCCAGTAGGGAGTGTGCAGGAGGCAGCTGATCGATGTTTCTCTCTCATCGATGTTTCTAACTCTCTGTCCCTCTCCCTTCCTCTCTGTAAAAAATCAATAAAATATATATATAAAAAAAAGCTTTAAATCAGAGGAATGATTCTTTTTTCACCTTTCTTGGTATTTATGCTTTAGTGTTAGGAAGTGGGTTTCTACCTCTATATTTAGCCATAATAGGAATCAATAGCTAACCTTTCTGAAGTCTTGATTTTTAAAATACTTGTGTCTATTATCCTTAGGCTAGAGAATATTTTAAGTTTTAGAGGGTTCTTTTTTGGCGGGGGAGGGGGGGGAGAAGAGGAGGGTGTGATGTGGCCAATCCTGTAAGAAGAGATAAAAATCAGACGTTTTTATTGCTTGTCAGGTCTGATGAAAGGTAAAATTAGACTTTTTAAATAAAATGAGGAGCACCCAGCCCTAGCCGCTTTGGGTGAGTGGACGCAGCGAAGATTTCCGGTTTGATTCCAGTCAAGGTCAGATACTTTGGTTGTAGGCTCATCCCTGGCCTGGGCCCTGGTCAGGGCGTGTCGGTTTGATTCCAGTCAAGGTCAGATACCTTGGTTGTAGGCTCATCCCTGGCCTGGGCCCTGGTCAGGGTGTGCAGGAAGCAAACAATTGATGTGTTTCTCTCACATTGATATTTCTTTCTGTCTCTCCTCCGCTTTCCAACCCTCTCTAAAAATCAATGGAGAAATATCCTCGGGTGAGGATTAAAAACACAAAACATAAATTAGAAGCACCCATAGTGGCTGAATTTGATTAATCAAAATTACTGACCCAGTTATATAGGAGTAATGATGTAGCATCTTCCTTTTTTGTACAAAGGCTAATTGGAGGTAATTATTTCTTGTAGAATATTTAGGTAATTTAGCACACTAGTTAAGTTAAATTTAATCTGAGATTTCTTTGCAACTTTTTATTGAGATTTGATTCACATAGCATACATTTCAGCATCTTAACAGATACACTTAAGTGGTTTCTAGTTCCTGAATGTTTTCACTCCCCACCCCAGATATGCCATACCCATTAGCAATTGTCTGAATTATCCCTCTCTCCGTGTTTCCTGGCAACCACAAATTTACTTTTTATTTCTAGATTTGCCTATTCTGGACATTTTGTATAAATGGAACCATACAATATTGTTGTGTTTTTCGTTATAACTTTTAAGAATTAACTAATTTGCTTTTTAAGTCTGTTTTTTGGAATGGGTTGTATGTTCAAAAGATATAAAATTTAGAACATGTCAGTATGTATTTTCCCAGCCACTCAGTTTTCCCTGGATATAGCTAATACTACCAGTTCCTTTTCTATCTTTACATTCTATGTCAAGCAAATACACGCATATTCTGTGTGCTGTTTTCTTAAAAATATATTTTTATTGATTTCAGAGAGGAAGGAGAGGGAGAGAGAGAGAAACATCAAGGATGAGAGAGAATTATTTGATTGGCTCCTGCATGCCCCCTACTGGGGATCAAGCCCGCAACCTGGGCACATGCCCTTGAAAGGAATTGAACCCAGGACCCTTCAGTCTATAGGCTGACACTTTTATCCACTGAGCCAAACTGGCTAGGGCTATGTGTTTTTGTTTAAATCCTCACCCAAGGCCTGGGACCCTTCAGTCCGCAGGCTGACGCTCTATCCAGTGAGCCAAACCAGCTAGGGCTGTTGTTGTTTTAAATTGATTTTAGAGAGGAAAGGTGGTGGTGGTGGGGGGAGATAGAGAGAAGGGGAGGGGAGGGGAGGGGAGGGGGTAACTTTGATGTGAGAGAAACACGGATTGGTTTCCTCCCTTACATGCTCAAACCGGGCATTGAACCTGCAACCTAGGTATGCGCTGTGGCCAGAAATTGAACCCACAAACTTTTGCAGTATGGGGAGGATGCTTTAAGCAACTGAGCCACCAGGCCAGTTTTTGTGTTATTTTTTTGGTTTACTTTATGAAGAAGAGTTACATAATCTATAACAACTCTTTTGGATCTTTTGCCCTTAATATATTTTATAGGTAATTTTGTATGAGTTCATGAAGTTTATATAGTTTTCCTTTGTAGCTGCAGAATATTTCACTTTGGATATACCACCATTTACTTAACTGGTCTCCATTGATGGACTTTTTCTCCAGTTTTTTGCTGTTAAAAGTAGAAAGCAGGGGCTAATCTGTACATATTTATTACAGGTGTGTGAGTGTATGAGTGTATATTTAAGATAAAGTCCTAGAACTGTTGTTCCATGGGATGTATGCATTTGTACTTTCGATATTTTATGTTGCCCTTTCTGACACCCTTTCCAATACCTCTACCAAACTTTGATTTTTGCCAGTTTAATAAGGTCAAAAACAGTATCTCCGTATGATTTCCATTACCATTTCTCCTATGCTAAGACTATGTACATTTTCATAGCCATTGGCTCTTCCTCTCATTTGCCCATTTTTCTATTAGATTTTTGTTCTTGTAGGAACCCTCTTTATATTAGGTAAATGAGTTATTAGGATATAATTTTCAAAAAGCCTTTCCCAGTTAATCATTTGTTTTTTCAATTTTACTTGCATGATATTTTCCAGATATAAAACATGTATATGATGTTGAATTTATCAAAGGTTTTGTATTATACTTATTATCAAGCTTTTCTGAGGATTTAAGAGTTTAAAAAAGGCTGAAGAATGGGTTGTGATTTAAATGTTTAATCCTTCTGGAATTTGCGGTTTTTTTTTCTTTTCTTTTTTTTTTTTTAAATGTTTTTGTTGATTTTAGAGAGAGAGGAAGGGAGAGGGAGAGAGACACATTGATGTGAGAGAGAAACATCAATCAGTTGCCTCCACTTGCACCTAGACTGGGACCCAGTGATCCAGGGACCAAACATGGGTGGGACTGCACTCAACCAGCTGAGCCACGCTGCCAGGGCTGTCATGGTTTCTTTAAATGTGTGTACTATCAAGTTAAGGTAGCATTTTACCTATTTCTTAAAAAAATGTTTTTATTCTTTTTAGAGATAGCGGAAAGGAAAGGGATAAAGATAGAAGCAACATTTTAGTAGAATTTAGGAATATCTTTTGGGGATAACAATTATTCTTGTCCTCTATGTTAACAAAATATTCACTTAATTAAAGGGTTTTTGTTTTTCTGCTTATTTTTTAGGCTGAGAAGGCCATTGTGACTATGTGGTGACTACAGTTATCTTACTACGAGTTTCCCACTGGAATCATGGAGGAAAAACAGCAGATTATATTGGCTAGTCAAGATGGTGGGACAATGGCAGGAGCAGCACCTACCTTCTTTGTCATCCTAAAACAGGCAGGAAATGGCAAAACAGATCAAGGAATTTTGGTTACTAATAGGGATGCTTGTGCTTTGGCTACCAGTGTGTCATCCCCAGGAAAATCTACAGGGAAGATTTGCCTTCCAGCCGATTGCACTGTGGGAGGTATCACTGTCACCTTGGATAACAATAGTATGTGGAATGAATTCTATCATCGAAGCACAGAGATGATTCTGACCAAGCAGGGAAGACGCATGTTTCCTTACTGTCGTTATTGGATAACAGGTTTAGATTCAAATAAGAAGTATATCCTTGTCATGGATATATCTCCTGTGGATAACCATCGTTATAAGTGGAATGGTCGCTGGTGGGAACCCAGTGGGAAGGCAGAGCCCCATGTTTTGGGGAGGGTTTTTATTCATCCAGAATCTCCTTCCACAGGTCATTATTGGATGCACCAACCAGTATCTTTTTATAAACTGAAACTTACCAACAATACACTGGACCAAGAAGGGCATATTATCTTGCACTCTATGCATCGATACCTGCCAAGGCTTCATTTGGTACCTGCAGAAAAGGCTACTGAAGTGATAAAGTTAAATGGCCCTGGTGTCCACACATTTACCTTCCCACAGACTGAATTCTTTGCAGTAACAGCTTATCAGAACATACAGATTACTCAGCTGAAAATAGATTACAATCCATTTGCTAAAGGCTTCCGGGATGATGGGCTGAATAGTAAGCCCCAGAGAGATGGAAAGCAAAAAAACAGCTCTGACCAAGAAGGTAATAGTGTTCCCAGTTCTCCTGCTCAACGGGCCCGTCTCACAGAAGGTGAAGGGTCAGAGATACAGCTAACTGATTCAGATCCTTTATCTAGGGGTCATGAGACATCAGGCAAGGGTTTGGAGAAGCCTTTCCTTAATATAAATCAAGACTTTCTTGGTTTCATGGATATTGATTCATCAGTTGGTGAAGTTACTCAGTTTAAACAAGAGGTTTCTGAAAGGTAGGTAACAGTTTTTCTGTTTCTAGTGATAAAAGATTTTGGGTTGAGCTTGTTTGTGTGGACTGCTGATTTTCATAGACAATGGTAAATGTAAGCTAAATACACCACAACTGCTTTTACATTCTGTGAAGTGATGGTTCATTTCTCTGTAATATCAGTTGTGTTGAGGATTCAGAATTGTAGGCAAATTAGATGATTTATCAGAATGGGGATCTTTCATTCATTTAGACTTGTAAGTTAATCATGCATAGGACTGTTCCTTGGTTATATGTAGACACACTTAATTGAGGAAGGGAAAAGAAATGACTTCCAAGAAATGTCATAACTGAAAGAAAACTTTTCCAGACAAGTTACAGAGGGGATTCAAAGTACACTTAATACTTAAGAATTTACTCTCTGTGGATATCTTAACCCATAAATTGTCTGACTGAAAAACAAGCTGAAAGTTATTATTACACCCTTAGGTTAAAATAGCATTGAACTTGCATTATTTATGATTTTTAATGGAAAGATTTTTGTTTTTTTTTTAAATGGATTTGAGAGGAAGGGAGAGAGATGGAGAGAGAAACATCAATGGGAGAGAGAAAAATGGATAGGTTGTCTCTGGTAGGGGATTGAACCCTAAACCGGAGTGTGTGCCCCGACTAGGAATCGAACCCACCACCTTTTGGTATACAGGACAATGCTCCAACCAAGTGAGCCACACCAGCCAGGGATATTTATTATTTTTTCAATCAAGGGCTATTTTTTTTAGAGCAGTTTTAGGTTCACAACAAAATCTGCAAAATTGAGGGGAAGGTATAGAGTTTTTCTATAGACCGTATGCCCCAACACATGCATAGCCTCCTCCATTATCAAGATCCCCCATCAGAGCAGTACATTTGTGTCTATTGATGAACCTGCATTTACACATCATAATCACCCAAAGTCCATAGATTACATTAGTACATTAGGGTTTACTCTTTGTGTTGTACAGTCTATGAGTTTGGACAAATGTATATAATGACATATATCCACCTTACATACATACATAGAGTATTTTCATTGCACTAAAAATTCTTTGTGCTCTGCCTGTTAATTCTCATCTTTCCCTCGAACCTCTGACAACCTCTTATATATATATTTTTTTAACCTTCACCTGAGGGTATATATATTTTTTATTATTTTTAAAATATATTTTTATTGATTTCAGATAGGAAGGGAAAGGGGGAGAGAGAGAGAAACATCAATGATGAGAGAGTCATTGATTGGCCGCCTCCTGCAGGCCCCCTACTGGGGATTGAGGCCACAACCGGGCATGTACCCTTGACCAGAATCGAGCCAGCCCCTGCTCTATCCACAGAGAAACAGGCTAGGGCTGTCTCCTTTTAAAAAAAAAAAAGTTTTTATTGATTTTAGAGAGGAAGGGAGGAGGGTAGAGAGAGAGACATCGATGGGCTGTTTTCTGCACACCCCCTACCTGGGATTGAGCCTCTAACCTGGGCATGTGCCCTGACGGGGAATTGAACCAGTGACTTCTTGGTTCATGGGTTGGCACTCCATCACTGAGCCACACCGGCTGGACTGTCTGTGTCTCTTTTTGATCAAGTATATTTTTCAGTAAAATTAACAGAAAGGATATATGGGACCTAGAATTTTAGCATGTTTAAGTAAAGTAACTTCTGATGAAAGTAATGATAGTCCCTTGCTCTTCTACCTCTGAAATCCTAATTTTCTTCTTACATGTTGAAAAATAGTTTTATTTTGCCCTCGTACTTTATAAATTGTTTGGTTAGTTCTGTGCTGAAAATGCATTGCAAGTTCCAGTTTCCTGTTGAGAATTCTTTTAAAATATATTTTTTATTGATTTCAGAGAGAGAGAGATAGAAACATCAGTGATGAGAATCATCAGTTGGCAGCCTCCTGCTCGTCCCCCACAGGGGATTGAGCCCGCAACCCTTGACCGGAATAGAATCCAGAACCCTTCAGTCCGCAGGCCGATGCTCTATTCACAGAGCCAAAGCAGTTAGGGCTCCTGTTGAAAACTTGATGCCATTTTGATTCCTGGTCATTTGAAGGCTCTTAAGGTCTTTTGTTCATTCCTTATATTATGAAATTTTATAGTGACGGGCCTTGGGGTGGTTCTTCTCATCATTGTGATATTTTTTTCAATTAAGAAATTCATGTACTGTGGTTCTAGGAACACTTTTAGTATAATTTGTCTACGTTTTTCACTTTCACTTTTTTTTAAACTCCTTATAGTTGGATATTCCATCTCCTGGATTGATTATCTTATCAGTTTTTTATTGTCTGTTATCTTTTTCCTCTACTTTATGTTGAAGTTTCATTGATTTACCTTCTAACTTGGTAAAGTTTTTTTTTTTTAACTTGCTAAAGTTTTTATTGCAACTATCAGATTTCAAGAGCTCTTCTATTTTCTTTTTCATTCCACATTTCCTTTTCCCAGTGGATTTCTTTTTTCTATTAATTATCACCTGTGTCTTGGAATGTATTACGTTACAGGTTTTTTAAATGTGCATCCTTAGTACATGTACATATCTTTATTGTATATCTATTAAATTACATTGTATTGTCTAGCTGTTTGTTTCCTGCACTCGTCTGTAATTTACTTGAGTGTGGGGTGGGCACTGTTCTTTTGGTAATCCTCAGGCCCAACAAAATTTGCCTGGTACGTTGTAGACACAGTGTAATTATCCCTTAATATCTGAGGGGGATTGTCTGCAAGAACCCCCCAACCCCACCCAAGACCAAAATTGGCAGATGCTCAAATCCCTTATATAAAACTAGGGGCCTGGTGCACAAATTCATGCACCTTGAAAGGAACGTGGGCCGCGAGGCTGCAGTGAGCACAGGAGTGGGTCTTGGCCCATCCTCTGTGCCCCCACCCGGCCACTCCTGCGACAGCCCTCAGTCCCCTCTCTGTCCGCAGCCCAGCTCCCACGCGCTGACAGTGCCGGCACTGCTCGCACCCGCTGAGTGGGGCTGGCACTGTCAGTGGATGCAAGCGGCGGCTGCTGCCCCAATCGCCCCTCAGGAGCAGAGGGAGGTGGAGAAGCCCTCAGGGGCGATTGGGGATGGCAGCTGCTGCTCGCATCCGCTGATGGCACCGGCAGTGAGTGAGAGCGGTGGCTCAGACACTGGCTGCGGGTGTCAGTGGGGCTGGTGCTGGCAGTGGGTGCGGGTGGCGGCTCTGGCACCGGCAGTGGATGCGAGCACCGGGCGGGACCATGGCACATGGGTACAAAGAATTTTCAGTAACCACCAGAGGTTCGCCCCGATTACAGCGACCAGTGCCCCGCCTTGGTCTGGCACCCCTGCTCACCTGCTCCATCATCCCACCGTGGCTGACACCCGCCATGTTCCACGCACACGCCCTGGTGGTCAGTGCACATCATAGTGACTGGTTGTTTGGTTGTTCCACCGTTCAGTCTATTTGCATATTAACCTTTTATTATATAGGATTATATAAGATAGCATATTTGCACATAACCTAAATGAATTTTCCTGTGTACTTTTTTCCCCCTCTTTTACTCTTATTTGTTGTTGATGCTATTACAGATGTCCCCCATTTCCCTTCTCTTGTCCACCTCCATGCAGCCCCCACCCCTCCTCCCTCTGGCCACCACCACACTGTTGTCTGTGTCCATTGACTATGCATATATGATCTTTGGTTAAGCACTTCACACTTCTTCAACCAGTCCTCCTGCCAACCTCAGTGTGCTCCATGTATCCATGCCTTCGATTCTATTTTGTTTATTCATTACATTCCACATACCAGTGAAAGTAAGAGTATGTAGTATTTCTCTTTCACTGACTGGCTTATTTTGCTTGCATAATAATCTCCAGGTTCATCCATGCTGTTGCAAAAGGTAAGGTTTCCTCCTTACGGCTGCATAGTATTCCATTGTGTAAATGTACTACAGCTTTTTTTTTTTTTTTTACAAGGCCACCAAAAATTTTGGTTGTCTCCCCCCAAAAAAATTGGGGGAGAGAGAGGTTACCACAGCTTTTTTATCCACTCATCTGCTAATGGTCACTTGGGCGGCTTCCATATCTTTATTTATTTTTTATTTTTATCTTTAAAATTCTTTATTGTTTAACCGTTTGGCTGCTGACGTATTTTTTCGGACATATGCCAAAACTGCAGCACTAATTGCGCGTGTATGGGAAATAATGTAAAACACTTTTTATACAATAAACTCACTTGTATTGCTTTGCAACAACAAAAATTAAAAAATATCAATTGTTTATATAAATTTGTTTTAAATAAGAAGAGCGCGATAGCGCTCCTTAGCAGTCAAACGGTTAATACAGTTCCTCATGTTGTGGTGACCCCCAACCATAAAATTATTTTCGTTGCTGCTTCATAACTGTAATTTTGCTACTGTTATGAATCGTAATGCAAATATCTGATATGCAGGATGTATTTTCAGGGGTCGCGACCCACCGGTTGAGAACCGCTGCTCCGGGGGTGAATTAGTTACGAGCAGACAGGAGAGACCACCTCCTTCCTCAGGAC